TAGTTAAGTTTGTTTTTTTTAGGGGAGAAGGGCAGTACTAACCTGCAAGGGGATGTTTTAAAATGTATAAGGGCATATAAGGTTGTCACTGTGCCAAAAAAGGCTGCTACTGGTATTTTGTAGAAGAAGGAGGTAGGAATGAGGAAGTGACAGGGAGTGCTAAATGTCTGCAGAGCTCTGGGAAAAACGGTCCCACTCAGCATGCCACTTGAGTTATCATGAGAAATACAGAAAGGGGTTGTTTGAATCATACTATCCATCTGGGTTTGGAGGAGTGGCTTAACGTTTTGTTGTTTTCCCCCCCATACAACCCAGTGGGTATGGCTCTTGAGGAAGACATAGTTTAAATCAAATAAAAAATTACTTTTGCTTCCCATATCCAATTTGTAATGTGATTGGTCTTGTTATAGCTATCCTTAAAAACGTAGCTAATCCAAATGCAAAATAATTGTAGCCATGTTTTTAAAAGCTAGGAGTATAGATTCCTGGAAAAAAATGAAAGGTATTCTTTAATTGATTTTCGTTAAGATAAATTTTTGTCCTGGGTGCCTTCATCTCAGATGATCATGTTAGTCACACTGAAAAGCTAAAGCTTTGACCCACTATTGTGTGACTCAATTCATATCATATTTTGAACATTTTAATGAGCCTCCGGTGCTTATGTAACCCACATGTAATAATTTAAAAGGGCTCTTGGAACTATTTCTGACAGTTTCTGTGAAAACACTGTAATTGGGGTGGCCAGCAGCTTTTAACTGCCACCAGGGATGTTTTGATATGGCAGGTGGGTGGGAACAAAAACAAAAAATCCACTGAAGAAGAAGGTTCTCTTGTACCCCCCCAGCCCATCCCCTGCCTGTGTTTATCTTTCTGATGATATTTCCGGAAAGCTGTTCTTTTCAGACAAATGTTAAAGTTTCCAGAAGGCAAATGGTGCCTTTTCTGTAAGTAAAAGCAGAAGGAGGAAACAACAGTTTACAGGAGAAAGAAGGTGGAGATGAAGAGGAAAATGGAGTCTAAGAGTAGAGAAGAGCAAAAAAGAGCATAAAAGTAGTGAAAAAAGAGAAAGTAGAGAAACAGAGAAATACATGAAATGGTAACAAGAATGGATATTTCTGAGTCATAATCCAACAGGAATTATCCATAATGACCTTATGGTACAAGCAAGAGGACAAAGAATCTTTCTTTACTACAAGAGAAGGACTTGATGATGGTGGGTGCTGTGTGCTAGAATCTCAGCATTATCCAGGTCATTGGGAAGCAGGAGGGAGCATGCTAGGCCTGGCTGCAAATAGTGGCCTCAGTGAGGGAAGCAGAGAGATGAATCCCAAGTCCTAGGGAACAGTAGAGCATGCTGGCTAAAACAAGGTATCCAGAGCCAGATCATCTAAGTTTAAATTTACCAGCTGTATTATTTATTGTCACATAACAAATTACTCTAAAGCTTGGTACTTAAAGTAATATTTGTTCCCTCACATTTTCCATGAGTCAGGAATCAGGTGCAGCTTAGTTAGGTTCTCTGGCTCAGGGTCTCTCACAGGCTGCAATCAAGGTGTCAGCCAGGGCTGCAGTCATCTCAAAGCTCAACTGGGAGAGGATCCGCTTCCAGACTCATTCATGTGGTTGGTGGCAGGCCTCAGGACCTCGCTGTCTGTTGGCTGGAGACATCAGTCCCTTGCCACTGATGTGGACCTGTCCCCACGGCAGCTCACAATATGATGGCTGGCTTCCATCAGAGTGAACAAGTGAGAAAGGGTGAGAGAGGGCACAGCCTAATCTCAAAAATGATGTCTCATTTTTTTTTTTGTCATATTCCTGTTGTTAAATCAAGTCGCTAGGGTCATCCCACACTCAGGGGGAGGGGAAGGCCCATGGTTGTGAATGCCAGGAGGTCATATCAGAGGCTGCTTTATCACATCACCTAGGTAACCCAACCTGCCAAGCCTGTTTCCTTCACTCTAGAATGAGGATAAATAATAGCCTTTACAACATTAAGCAACACAATAAACAAATTCTAGTTGTTTACGGATGAGCTAAGATGTTGTATGTAGGATGCTGAACATGGTACCACAGAATAATATTTTTGAAATATTGACCATTTTTTCCTCCTAGGGATCTTCTTTTCCTTTCCCCCATGCAAGCAGTTTGTTTCCTTGGCTCCTTTATCAGGAAAGAGATGTGGCAGAATGAGAAGCTGAGGGCCTTCTGGTCTTCCTGGTTTGGTTTCCAAAAGCCTAGATCCATATGGAAACGGAAAGTTTGAAGTGAGGACCAAATATATGAGAAAAACAGGAAGGAAAAAGCAGGTCCCAGAAGGAAGAGTGGAGAGTGCCTCCCAATTAAATCAGGCTTAAATTATTCTTTGTTTCCTAATTCTTTTGAATAAGCAATTTGGTGAAAATTATGAACATTTGAATAAACAATTTGGTGAAGAAAATGACTGGACTGTATTCTGAAGAGGGAAGGGCCACAGTCTCTCCGTCCTGGGCATGTGTTTTGTAATCCTGGCATTAAGTAGAATGAAAGTGCCCTGAAAAAGCAGTGATGCGTACTCCACTGCTTGAAGTTTATGTTTGTATCGAGTTAAAATTTAATACCACTTTGTAGTGTTTTAAAAGTCTCATATCCGTAGTCAGCAAATTAGTTAACGTTATCTTAGAATACTACAAATATTCTGTCAAACACTCAGAGCTTTGCCAGGAAAAATGCTGACTGGATGGCTTAAGAGTCAGTGTTCAATATATTGGGACATTTAGGAATAAAAGAAATAAAGGCCATTTCTCATGTTTGTGTGTCTTATCAGTAGCTAAGAATTGTTACTAAACACAGGTCACAGTAAGAGGCACCATGAGGAATATGAAGTTTAGGAAATTGTTCTCTCTTTTCAAATTTTCTGTATAGTTGAGAGTTTTTGTGAAAGCTGATTTTTTTTTCCTATCTACCTGAGAGCTTCTGTGAAAGGCCTGATTTGACATAGTGTCTTTTATCAGATTTCCCTCTTGATTTCTGAAAATCCACAGGTCCTTGTTCCACAAACTTGTCCCAAGAGACAGGATATCATAGCGGTTAAGGTGACTGGCCCTAAGGCAAAGGTGACTGCCAGAATTTGTGCCTTCACTCTGCCACTAACTAGCTGTTTGATCTTGATCAAGTTACTTAGCATTTCTGTACCTCAGTTTTCCCACCTATAAAGCAGGAATGATAATATTACTTATATGGTTGTTGTGAGAATGAAATGAGATAATCTGTGAAAATACTTAGAACCTATTAGTTCTGTGTCTGACTTAATAAATATGTCCATTATTAGCTAGTTGTACCTCACTTTTCTCCACAAAATCACTGCTTCAGCCTTTTCTGCTTATCACTGTCTTATAAACACTCCATCTAGTTGCTGTTCCCTTCGCGTTCTAGTTATGCCCTAAAGACAGACATGGCTCCCAACTTTAATTGCCCAAAGCACAGCTGTGCCATTTTATAAAACTTTACTGAAGCATACAAAAGATGATGCTGCAATTCAGAGAAGGAAAACCTGAGACGAAGCATCAGGCGCCATTTCCTGTAGACTCTGTTAGTCATGCCCTTCCAGAGGGCCTCCTTGGCTGGCCATCTCCGTCCTTGCCTCTGACTTGCTGCCATGGTCCAGGGCTTGACTCATTTCCCCCAGATAAATGTCCCCTCACTCTGGCCCTCCCTCTCAGGGTCCAGGGCCCCCACCTACTCTGTCTCCAACTTTCTCAAGAAAAAGCAAAAACCGTCCAACATCATCATCATCTCTGCAGAGATATCACATGCTCACAAGGAAAAGAGAGCAGGCTCCTTTCTCGTTGTCTTAAGCATCTCCATTCCCACTTTCTCCTTTGCTTTGCATAAACAAAAGGCCCATAAAAATTTATTTTACTGAAAAGCTATCTTTCCCCAAATATAAATTTTCTGCCACCCCTAGAACGATAGGCACAAATTTGAGTCTGACTTTATCTATGCCAAGCTCCATCCAAAAAAATCTGTTCATAGTCTCTAACACAATTACTCAATATTTTCAGTACAGAGGAAAGTGAAGATATTGAATCAAAATGATCAGGTTGCTAGTGTGGGCAATTGCAGTTCATTTCTGGAGACGCTTTAATAAACTATGTACAGGGCTGCCCAACAGAAATGTAATGCAAGCCACATGTGTAATTTTAAATTTTCTAGTAAGTAAAGTAAAAAAAGAAAATAAACTTAATTTTGATATTTCATTTAACAAACTATGTCTAAAATATTATATTTTCAACATATAATCAATAAAAAATACTAATGAGATATTTACCCTTCTTTTTCATAGTACGTCTTTGAAGTCCAGTGTGTATTCTACACTTAAAGTGCATATCTGTTTGGACCAGCTACATTTCAAGTGCTCAGTAGCTACATTTGCTAGTAGCTAATATTGGACAACATAGAGAACATTCCTTGGAACTGCCCCTCACAGGACGATATGGTCCTTCATTGACTGGGAGCGGCTCCTGGGGGAGTTAACCACTTCTGGCAAGCCTGGCATTCCAGCTGAGCTTGCTCCTACAGCCAGAGAAAGGCCTCAGGCAGAGAGATAACAATGCTTACCTTACAAAGCCATTAGGGGAACAGTCCACCAAGGTGCAGGTGACCTCTGTAGAGGCCAAGGGATATGGGCAGAGCAGCGACAGCATTCACTACAACCACCTAAAACAGTAGCTGGCACCATTCTATTCAAGACTAGCTGAAAATGGGGAGACTAGTTACGAAATTAGGACAGTGTATCAGGAAGATTACTAAACAAATGTTCTGTTTTCTCCTAAAAAAAGAAGCAGTTCTTTGCTCATATATGTGAAATGGTCATGTACTGAGTTTGTTTTCCCTATTTTCTATGTCCCCCATATCAAGCCTGCAGATAGAGAACCCCCCTTGCCTCTGGAAAGTTGGTGATAGGTCTGGAAATAGAAGCCACTTGTCCTAAGACTTTGCTTTCTTTTGTTTTCTGAAAGCAGGCGCCTCTGGAGGGGAGTATGCTGTAATGCAGGGGAAGAGAGACTAACACAGTGACAGAGAGAAAGTTGCAGGGACAAAGGTGGGTGAGTCTGTGAGCAGGGGGAACTTGGGCCCCATTCAATGGTTGTGCCTTGGCGTGGGGGAGAGGTAAGATGACAAGACTGCAAGAAGAATGATTGCTTTTACACTTAAGGTGATGGGACCCCAAGTTAGCAAAGATTTCATTGTCTTTAAAAGCCTGGCGCAGAAGTGGCAGTCCTCGTGAGTCAGGTACCGATGTGCATCTCTGCCGTGATCCGTGTGGAGCAAAGATCGGATGGGGCCTCCCTGGAGATATTGCTCTGGGCGAGACTCCTGTACAAATTTACTCCTATAAATTTACAATCATTTTTTTTCTGGACTAGTTATTTAACAGTGTCAATGTTATCTCTAAATAGCTTTCAGGAGATTTTTTGGAAGTATGAGCAGGATCTTTTTGAATGCCAGGTTTCATGAAATGAGTACAAAATTTTCCCTTTTCACACACCAGGGTGTATCTGTTTTTCTGGCTTCCTGTAAAAAAAGAGCATTTATATCTCAAATAGTTGATATTCTTTATCCATGCATATATTTATATGAAATTGTACACTCCAAAAATAACACCTGGAGGCAGTAGCCAAATAATGCATGAATTTTAAACAAATTGAGTGAATATTTTAATAGAAACTTTGTTATTGCTGCTATTTATAGATTGTGATATTTTATTTTACTTTAATTTTAAATACACATATTTTCAGGCTTACAGAAAATTTTCAGGAGTAGTACAACAAATTCTTGTATACCCTTAAGCAAGATTTCTCAAATTTAACGTTTTGCCACATTTACTTTATCGTTGTCTTTCTCTCCCCGCATACATGCACACGTGCACACACGCACGCCTTCTCTCTTTCTCATATATATAAGAATCATTTGAGAGGAAGCTGTAAAAATGATGTCTCTTTACCTTAAATACTTTAGCATTTATTTTCTAACAATAAGGACATTCTTTTATATAACCACAGCACGGTTAAAATCAGGAAATTAACATTCACAAAATACTACCATCTAATCTACAGACCTTATGCAAATGTTGCCAATTTCCCAGTCTTTGATGGCAAAAGGAAGACCTAGATCACACGTTGCTTTCAGTCATAAGACAAACCTTGGTTTAGAAAAGCTGTTGAACAGTTCTTAAGTAGGCTTCAGGTCAGGCTTAATCTAGACATTTGTAAAGTGTTTAGTCTCTTTTAGTCCAGAACAGTTCCTCATTTTTGTTTTTTCCTTTTATAACATTGACATTTTGGGAGAGTATAGGCCTGTTATTTTGTAGAATACCTTTCAATTTGGATTTATCTGATGTTTTGTCTTGATTAGATTCAAGTTATGTGTGCATTTTGGTAGGAATGCCACAATAGTGATGATGTATTTTTTTCTCAGTGCATCATGTCAGAAGGCACATGATGTCAATTTCATTGAGAAAACCTTATTATGAAATAAATATCAGCTGAACTAAATCTATCTAGTGACATAGTTGATTTACATTATGGTGCAGTTTTTTTTATATTGCCCTTAGTTGCTAACAAACAGTTCACATGCTTGTAGCATGCATTTGTTGATTATATTCCCCGTGTCCATTTCTCAACTTGTCTCTGTCACATAGCCTTTCATTTTCATTTTGGGGTTGCACCTCAACCTAGGGAAACCAACACCATCCCCTCACTCTACCAGAGGAGCATATGATCAAGCTTAGGTCAATAAAAGCATTGCATCCCTCTAGAGTCAGTATTGTTACAAGGATGGGGTATGACCAAGGCAGTCTGATTATAGTGAATCTTGAGACTTCTGTTGGGAATGCTGGGGCAAAGATGCTGTTTCCTTCTGGACAACATGACAGGAATGTGAAGTCTGAAATTACTGCAGCCATTGTTCTATGGGGGCCAACCTGAGATCTAAGCTGGCCAGTGAAGGAGGGAACAGTTGAACAAACTGAAGAGAAAAGATACACTATTGACTTTACAAATGTCTAGATTAAGCCTGACCTGAAGCCTACTTAAGAACTGTTCAACAGCTTTTCTAAACCAAGGTTTGTCTTATCCGCTATGGGAGGAAACATGTAAGATGATCTTTAGTTGTGAGGGATGCTCTTGTTGGTAGGCTATTGCTCCAGGCATGTTTCCTAAAGCTAGGGATGGTAAATATTTTGTGGTGTAAAGAATAGTTGTGAATAATAAAGAATTGTTCCTACCAAAATGCCAGTAGCAGTACCATTTCCCCAAGTGAGAAACATGTTCAATTTTTAGGTTTGGATTGGAATTTTTACTTATTTTGAACTGAAGATTCTCTGCCTTGCAGGGATACTATTCAGGGGGTATGCATGGGTACCTCTGGACAGTGGATTTATAACCAGCATCTGTGTTCATGGTTAGGGCTCATTCTATCCCAGTCGTTAAATGTTTTGCATATTACCCCTGCCACCAGACCCAGAAATCTCTGCTCTAGGTCTGCTATGTCTGGGGTGAGTCTTAGTGCTGAGCTTTAGTATTTCCAATGCTCCCTTCCCCAAATCTTAATTGTATCTGCAAAGTCCACATGAGGGCACTTCTATCTTGGTTTCCTGATTTTGCACTCCAACCACTCTTATTACTGGCTTGAACTCCATCCCCTTGGCAGGGATTCCTAGGCCCTTCCTAGACCCTTGGCAATTTCCTCTTCCCAGAAACTGGAGCTCACTCGCTGATGTCATGTCAACAATTGGAGGACTGTTTTGACCAGGCATCCAGGGAGTACTGCATTTTGCCTGTCTCTCAAAAATGCTCACAGAAGGCATTATTGCAGCTGTGCCAAACCACCCGCTGAGCTCCCTTGGGTAATGCTATCATGACTGACTGAAAGCTTCTCGAACTCCTCTGGGTACTGGGATTTGGCCTGCTGACTGCCTCCCACTGGAAGACCTATTCCTGCAGTGCGCTTTACTCCTCCTCACTCCAGCGTCACCCTGCCTCTTCGGTCTCCACCTCACCATGTCTGAACCTCCCGGGTAATGACAGTCTCCTCAGGGATTAACTAGGACTTTCCGCCCTCTACAAGCTGTAATCATCATCGTGTTATTCTTCAGAGATAAAGAACCAAAGAGATTCTTGGGTGGTAATGGGTGCTAGTAGTATATTAAACTATGAACTGAAGATTTAAGACGATTAGCCAGTTAGAGGAATTTACATTTAAAAATTAATGGAGGAAAAAGAGGTGAGGTTTACTTTGTTTATAGTTACTAAAATTAGCTTCTTATATTGATTTTGACCCTGGACGAGGGGTTCCTAAATATTTGATGAGGAGGGGTTGCTTTCATTCTAAAGTATTTTTTTGAGCTTTATAGAGGTATAATTAACAAGTAAAATTATTATATTTAAAATATAACTTGATGATTTGATATACACATACGCTGTCAAAGGATTCTCCCCATCGAGTTAATTAACGCATCCAGCACCTCACATATTGACTTTTTTTTTTGATGACAGCATCTAAGTTCTAGTCTCTTAGCAAATTCCAGTTATACAAGACAATTTTATCAGCTGTAGTCACAATGTTATACATTAGATCCTCAGAGCTTATTCATCTTATAACTGAAAGTTTGTACTTTTTACCACCCTCTCCCTATTTCCTCTACCCCTCAGCCCCTGACAACCACTTTTCTACTATCTCTATCTGTGAGTTTGATTTTTTTATATTCCACATATAAGTGATATTATGTAGTATTTGTCTTTCTCTGTCTGGCTTATTTCACTTAGTGTAATGCCCTCCTGGTTCATCTATACTGTCACATATGGCAAGATTTCCTTCTTTTTTAAGGTTGAATAATATTCCATTGTATACTTATGCCACATTGTCTTTATCATTCATCTGTTGATGGACATTTGGGTTGTTTCCATGCCTTGGCTGTTATGAATAATGCTGCAATGAACCTGAAAGTAAAGATATCTCTTTGAGATAAGGGTTTTGTTCCTTTGCTGGATCATATGGTAGTTCTATTTTTAATTTTTTGAGGAACCTGCATGCTGTTTTCCATAGTGGCTGTACCAGTTTTCATTCCTATCAACAGTGCACAAGGGTTCTCTTCTCACCACATCTTTGTCAGCATTTGTTATCTCTTGTGCTTTTGATAATGGCATCCTAACAAGTGTGAGATGATGTCTCATTCTGGTTTTAATTTGCATTCCCCTGATGATTAGTGATGTTGAGCATCTTTTCATATACCTTTTGGCCATCTCTATATCTTCTTTGGAAAAATGTTTATTCAGGTCCTTTGCCCATTTTTTAATTGGGCTATTTGTTGTATTGCTGTTGAGTTGCATGAGTTCCTTGTAACTCCTTATTGGCCATGTTGTTTGCAAATATTTTCTCCCATTCTGTAGGTTGCCTTTTGATTTGTTGATGGTTTCCTTTGTTGTGCAGAAGCTCTTTAGTTTGATTTAGTCCCACTTGTTTATTTTTGCTTTTGGTGTCAAATCCAAAAAGCCTTTGTCAAGTCCAAAGTACAGAAGCTTACTGCCTATATTTCCTTCTAGGAGCTTTATGATTTCAGGTCTTATATTCAAGTCTTTAATTCATTTTGAGTTGATTTTTGGGTATGATGTAAAATAGGGATCCAGGTTCATTCATTTACATGTGGCTATCCAGTTTTCCCAACACCTTTTATTGAATAAACTATCCTTTCCTCATTGTACATTCTTGGCTTTTTTGTCTTAAATTAATTGGCCATATATGCAGTGGTTTATTTCTGGACTTTCTGTTCTGTTCTATTGATCTATATGTCTTTTTTATGCCAATACCATACTGTTTTGATTACTATAGCTTTATAGTATAGTTTGAAGTCAAGAAGTGTGATGCCTCCAACAGTGTGATACCTCAAGGTGATTTGGCTATTCAGGGTCTTTGGTGGTTCCACACAAGTTTTAGGATTTTTTTTTTTCAATTTCTGTGAAAAATTCCATTGGAATTTTGATAGGGATTGCATTGAATCTTTTGATTGCTTTGAGTAGTATTGACTTTTTAACAATATTAACT